ACAGCCATAATGCTTCTGTTTTTAAACTGGGAAGTGGCTGAGATGTCAAAATGATATTAAACTGAGATGTCGCTGAACATACATACTTTTTTGACTCAGAAATATGATAAAGTGAAGGGCTTTGTCAATGCACGGTGTAACTGAAGACTTTGTATGATCGTTGAATCAAAAATTATAGCAAATGCTTTTAACTCAAATTTGCAAGGGTCATGATAGAATTTTAGTTTTGACCAAAATGAGACACTTGCCATTCATTTCGATAAAAACACCAAGCAATTTCAGCCCAGCAACTTAAATTACCGCAATTTCAGAACTAAAATTCTTTGAAACTTCCTTCAACTTCTTAATTAAAGTTGATTGGTGATATGTGCTGCATAAGTTTTGTTACTTTTTTGAAATTTTTCAATATTTTTTAGTTTCAGGCTTGTAATTCAAACAGTTTGCAAGTGTTTATTGATCCGTTTCATGCAACACATTTGTCTTAGGCACAATCATGTGTACAGTTCATTATCAAAGTTATTTATCATTTCAGATCCATTTCAGATTTGAATTTTGAAACTTGAATGTATTTAAGGCGAATTGCATATTTTCATGCAAACTAAAAACACAAACATGCTGAAATTTTGTAACAGATTTTACATTGCGTGGAAGGTTGCAAATTTGCTGAATACAATTTTGATGTGCTGATGCTTTTCCTTAAGTAACACTTAAGGTTCTTTTACCATATAATATAAATGATGAATGTTTTTAGTTTTCAGATGATTGAATCTGACATCTTTTTTGTTCAGTGATTTTTGGGAAAATTCCATTTTGGGAAAATTCCATAATAAAGGTTTACAACTGCTAAAACATCATTTTCAGAAAGGCCATACAGCTTTAAACATTCTGGAGGTAGGTCCAGATTTTCTTTACAAACAGAGCTATTTGAAAGAATAGAAAAAATTTCAGCTTATTTTTCTTTGAATTTGGTAGTGCTTTTAAATTTAGATCGGCTTCCAATTTTTCTCATTATCTCTTAGATCTTTCTTTAGACTTTCTTTCTTTTTTATCAGAACTCAGAGAAACATAATAAGCTTGGTATTCTGCATAATGTTTTTCACTTGTAATTTGGATTCCATTTCTTAAAAATGTACAACTTGATAAAAAAACCCAAAAATGATCAAATAGTTTACAAGTATTTACTGATAACACGTCACAATATTAAAATAAAAAATTTCTTCGACCAGATCTCGCAATCAAATCTAAACTTTTAGATTATATTTTGATTTCTTTACCACAATAATTTTTAAAATGACAATTATCCCATTGATGGGTTCAGTGATGCAACAGCTTTTAAAATATAATTATAAGTTAATATAATATCAATGTAATACCTAATATAATGTTAATTATATTAACATTAACTTTTTAATCATTTTTTTTTGAAGAGTGATAGAAAGTTTACATAATAATAAAGAATTTCTAAAAAAACCTAATAACCTTTAACCTAATTTCATAGTTATAATTAAACTTTTTTATCTTTAAGTTCAGTGACCTAATTTTTGCAGATGTATATGTGACAAAATAGCATTTGAGTTATTTTTAAAGTCCGTAATTTTTTTTACTCTGGTATATAATTTCAAAAAATCTTTTTAAACAACAATTAAAAATACAGATTTATTTTGTTTGAAATGTTACAAAAACTTTCCTTCAAACTTTTTCAATTATTAAAAAGAGAAAAAAGCTGCTAACATTTATCATATTTTATCTACTTGGTTCAAATATTTTTTACTAAATGGTTGACTACTTGGTTCAAATATTTTTTACTAAATGGTTGACTACTTGGTTCAAATATTTTTTACTAAATGGTTGACTACTTGGTTCAAATATTTTTTACTAAATGGTTGACTACTTGGTTCAAATATTTTTTACTAAATGGTTGACTACTTGGTTCAAATATTTTTTACTAAAAAAATTAATTTTAATAATAATTTCAAGTTGTTTAAACTACAATTAAAGAAAAAAGTCTTTATTTAAAATATTTTCTTAAATAATTTTTTTATAACACTCTATAATCTCTTATATCACTTTTTGATTTAGTTTTATTAACATAATAAAAAACAGCTATATATATATATATATATAAATATATATATATATATATATATATATATATATATATATATATATATATATATATATATATATATATGTATATATATATATATATATATATATATATATATATATATATATATATATATATATATATATATATATATATATATATATATATATATATATATGTATATATATGTATATATATATATATATATATATATATATATATATATATATATATATATATATATAGGGTTCCCACACCTCCTTAAAAACCTTAAATATCCTTAAATAACCTTGAAAAAAGTTAAAATTTGACTGCTCTTCTTAATTTCTCCTTATTTTATTTTTTTATTTATCTAGAAAAATTTATCAAATTGAATGGATTATACTTGTTAATAAAGAAGATTATATATATATATATATATATATATATATAATATATATATATATATATATATATATATATATATATATATATATATATATATATATATATATATATATATATATATATATATGTATATATATATATATATATATATATATATATATAGTAATTAAAGTAATAATAATTTCTCTGTTTATATTTAAAATTTATTGAAAAAAATAAGATTATGTTTTTAATGTAATTGTTTTCTCCTTAATTATCCTTACTTTTTTTTTCAAAAAAATGTTGTTCGCGACCAAATATTTAGATATTAGGAAAATATCTTCTTAAATCTCCTTAAAATCCTTAATTTTAAGGAGTTTTAATAGTGGGAACCCTGATATATATATATATATATATATATATATATATATATATATATATATATATATATATATATATATATATATATATATATATATATATATATATATATATATATATATATATATATATATATATATATATATTCTTGCAAATCATTTACAACATGAGTATACAAATAGGTCACTTTTATAACAAAACTTTGTATTTATTTATTTGAGCCAATATTATATTGAAAATGAATTTAAATGTTTTATTAATAGTACATTAATTTAAATGCTTATATTAAAAGTACATTAATTTCTGACAATTTCAATTCTGGATCTTTAATTTTTAAATTATAAAGTCTGATTTAAATTAGATTTCATAATTTTGCAGATGATGTGGAGTCGGAGTTGCAGAGTTGCGACATTTTTAGCGGAGTCGGAGTTGCTAAATAAAATCGCGACTCCGACTCCAATAGTAAAATTTCTCAGTGTTGCACGTGCATGTACAAAACATCAAATTAATCTTTTTTTCATACTAAACCTCAAAGAACGTTTTATAAATTTGTCAAAAAAAAAATTTTTAACATACTGCGTAATTTTTTTTTAAAAGTTTAAAGAATTTTTTAAAAATTTTGCTTAGGAGTTGGAGTCGGAGTTGGAGTCGGAGTTATGCTCAAAAAATTTCAACAACTGGAGTCGGAGTCAGAGTTGTACACAAAAAATTTCAACAACTGGAGTTGGAGTCGTTACTTATTTTTTAAGACTCCACACCCCTGGTTCTATCAGCGACCTCTTCTTTTTGTTTTATCTAGTGCTTCAGTCTTCTTGTGCATTTCGAAATCAATCTTTAGCTTATTTCGTGTATATCTGGGTCATGTAATCAGACATCTATTAGTGCATCAATCAGCCCCACTCTTGTTGTTGGCTTTTTGGTTGCCCACTGAAAATATCTAAATATGCCTTCTGCTTCTCATTAAGCAATCCTCTCTTTCATGATTGACAGGCAGTTAATGAATGAGGTAGCAGCAAATGTAGCTTGCAGAAACATCTTGACATGTTGTTCTATCATATTCTGCAGCTATTTGCTGGTCATTTTCTGATTCTTTTGGACACAATTTCTTCTTTTAGTATGTTAAGTAATGATTTTTTTTAACCCTGTTGTGGAGAATTGTGGGGATGAGGTTAGACCTAGACGAGGTTAAATCTAGCCTCTACTTTATTGTATAAACTGCCTTTTGACTCAAGCCTATAGATTTACCAATTTCTCACTGTCATAGTCCCCAATTTTATTAAAGTCTCTCCTTTCTCTCTTTTTTGGGGAATTTTGAGAAACTTTTTCTTTTCTCTGTTTTTTTTTTGAATAAAGTCATTGATTGATAAAGTAATGTGTATCAACTGTTAAATATGGTGGGAGTAGTGTTAAGGTGTGGGACTGTTTTGTTTGGAATGCCACAAATAGCATTGTAAAAATAGAGTGAATAATGGCAAAAGTAGTATATTTGATAAAAATCGTGCTATTCTTTGGGCAAATTGAGTTAATTAAAATTTATTTTTTGAAAAGAAAATGACCCAAAACTTAAATCCAAAACATTTTTTTTAAAACATTGTATAGGTTATTTAACTGAGTTAGAAAATGATCAAAATTGATTAGAATGTATTAAATAAGGTGTTTATTGAGTACTTAAACAAGTATTTTTTGAATACTTAAATGAGTAGCCTTTTCAACTAGTAGCCTCTGGAACCTGTAGTAGCCTCTTTTTTCAACTAGTAGCCTCTGGAGCCTGTAGTAGCCTCTTTTTTTTAACTAGTAGCCTCTGGAGCTTGTAGTAGCCCCTGGAGCTTTGGGGAGGTGAATTTAATTAAAAAGTGTGAGTATTATACATACATCATACATACAGCTCTCACTTCTAATTTAATTTTGGTTAAGAGTAGGAGCTTGTAAATTTTGGGTGGTTGCGCTAGAGCTAACATTACAATAAAAATACTCATATGCTAATGTCTGGATAAATTGGAAAGAAGGTTGTAAAAGTTTGTGTATACTAACCAATTTTTAATAGTTGTAAAAAAATTTATAAGTTTTTATTAAAAGCCTTTTGCATGTCGAGTAAAATTATTTTTATTAGTTTGATGACTTTCTGTTGACAGCTTTTTTCTTACAGGATAAACATTTGATGCGACAGAGAGCTCATGTTTTGTACAGTCTTTTGAAAGGCTTTGTTCAAAGGTACTTTGTTTCTAGTTTACTTTTGTTTTTTTCTTGTAGATGTATTCTTAGGTTTTAAATAAATGGTGGGGGCATTTTTATGGGAGGGGAACATTTAAAAAAAAATTTAGGTAGAGAAAGTTGTTGTCATTTCAATCAGCATAAAACCAACACAACATTGGATTTTTGTTTGAAAAAAAAATTATTGATTAACAGGGGAGGATTTATTTGTCACCTAAAAGTACAAATGTTGTTGAATTTTAATCACATGATCATAATAATATAATCATTAAATAGTTTTAAGTGGAACAATTTGAAGAATTAAATTCAATATTAATAATATTGTTATTAAAAGAATTTAAAATTTATTGTTTACATTTAATATTTAATATATTATTTTATAATTTTGATTTGAAGAAATTCAATTTAAATATATCAAATTTTAAGCTACATTTAATATTTAATTTATTATTTTATTGTTTAAATTAAAATAAATTTAATATTTAATTTATTATTTATTTATTGTTTGATATTTAATTTATTATTTTATAAACATTTTATTCTTAATTAATGCAGTAACTGTTTTAAATAAATTTTATTTAATTTTTTCTGGGCACTATGTTTATTAAATTACATTAATCTATTATAAAATTGAATACCGTTATTGTGTGTTGTTCTAATCTTTGACTTTCTTTAATGTTTTTTTTTATGGCGTTAAAGGCGTGGTCATAATGTTCTTAAAACAGCACTTCCTCCTAAGGAAGAGAATGTATTAGTGATCAGACTATCTCCAGTTCAAAAAGCTCTTTATAAAAAACTAATCGATACTACACTTTGTTATGAAAGCATGAATCCAATAAAAACATTTAGTTTATGTGTAAAGGTAAACATTTTTGTTATGTTTTTTTTTATTCAGACACTGTTTATATTAAATATATATATATATATATATATATATATATATATATATATATATATATATATATATATATATATATGTATATATATATATATATATATATATATATATATATATATATATATATATATATATATATATATACATATATATACATATATATATATATATATGTTCTTATTCTTCATACATATTTAAGTCAATTTGAGGAAATTTTCGATTCTAAAATACAAATGTTAAAAAAACAACTCCCAAAAAATTTCAGCTCAACAGGACCACTGAATCCTTACCCCCTAAGAATTACTTTTTTAGAAAAAAAATTCTTAAAAATAATCAAAATTTCACAGGTCCAGAGGGAAAGTTTAACTATAATTTTTTTTTCTGGGTTTTCATTTTTACCTATATATTTGAGTAACAATACATGGTATCATTTTTTTTATTTTTGTTTTTTGAATTGAAAAAATTACAATATTTGATGATAGTTTTATGTTATTAGATTAAATTTCAAGTTCAAATAATTTCAGTTACATTCATGTTCATTTTCACCACTTTTCTTCTTTTTATTAAGTGAAGATAAGCTTTCAATAAATTCCAGGTGTTCTGAAAGTACACCGTCAACTTTTTCTTCCTCATTTTTGTATCGGTGAATAAATTGCCGCATTATTCCAATAAATCTTTCTGAATGATCATTTATTACAATTAAAGATTTAGTATAATTCTGAAAGTTTTTAAAAACAGATTGTGTAAACTAATACTCAGGGGGAAGCGAAAGCCAATCTTTACCCTTGGTTCAGTTCTATCATATGTTTATATTCTAACTATATTATCTTATCTCTTATATTATTTATCTTACATCAACTGAATCAGATCTTTTTTTCTCATTTCTAAGATCTTCTAAGATCTAAAAGATCTTTCTAAGATCTTTTTAATTGTATTTCTAAGATCAGGAATGCCAGCCCAAAATATTTTCTTCAGGTAATCTTTAAACTCTTGTTGCTGTGCCAAATCTGCAGCGGATCCCCTTTTTTCATGCTTCTTAATTTTTGAATATACATTTTTTTTGTTTTGTTTGTTTGTTATTCACTTCCTCAAGGCCGAGAAGGCCACTACAGATGAGGAGGCTACTTAATAGTGGTTTTAACCCTCTCTTAACTCTATAACTCTGAAACATGAACCAAGGCCACTGCGCTAAGAAACAAGTTGAGCGCGGTACTACCATGGGCGTGGTGGTGATCGAACTTGGAACATCTCGCTTATGAAGCGTGCAATTTACCACTACACCACTACCGCAATTGTCCAGAGTTGAAAGATTTTTCAAATTGACTTTGATTGTTTAGTATAGAAAATCCAGCTTTAATCCATGGCTCTTTTACCTTGGCCAAAATACATTCACACTTACTTTATATTGCACATCTTTGAAATTTTTTTGAGGAGGATAAGCAAGAATAGTGGCTTTTTTTGATGTTCTAGGCAAAAATGATTGTTTGTAAGCTAAGTGCTGCAGTATCTCCATCCCTGTTGGAAGCTGACACCCTAAATTACAAAAAAGAAGATATAAAAAGTTTAGCTAAAATTCTTAGCTCAAGGGATTCCTTATAAAATTAATTATTAATTTTTATTGCTGGTTTTGCTTCTTCAATAATGAGTAGTTTTTTTTAGACCTAAGTGTTCTTTCACTTTCTGTATTCTGACCACGTTCTTCTTCTTCATACATGTTTAAGTTAATTTGATTAACAATTTAATTAATCTAAAACTAATCTAAAAAATCAAGTTTAAAATAGTTATTGTAAAACAATTTATAGGTAATATAAAAATATATAGGTAAAAATAAACAACCCAGAAAAAAAAAACTTCAAATTTTTGTAGTAAAACTTCCCCAACACCTGTGAAATCAGCAATTTTTGATGGCTTTTGAGAATTTTTTTTCTAAAAAAGTGCTTAGGGAGGGGGGGGGGGTAAAAATTAAGTGGTCCTGTTGAGCTCAAATTTTTTGGAGGTTATTTTTTTAAAATTTGCCCCAAATCTAGAGTGTATGGTATTTTAGAATCAAAATTTTTTTTTGATTTTAAAATACCATACACTCTAGTTTTTTGATAGACAATTTATTATATATATATATTTAAAAAATTTTGAATTCAGATTTGGAACCATCCAGATATCTTGTATAAAGCTGTGTGTGCAAACCAACAAGGAAAACAATTGGTAACTAGGTTTATTGTTTAGTTTATATTAATGGAATATTAGCTTTTATTTAGAAACTGGAAATAAAGTTATTAAAAAGAAGATTTTTCTTATAATCATTTGATAATGTTTCTTTTTTTTTTTTAATCTTTTTAATACATAGTTTTTCTTTTGTAATAAGCATTCCTTAATTTTAATATTGCAACAGATGTTTTTTTTTGTTATTTATTTGCAGCATTTTATTTAAAGTTTTTATCAAGGTTATTAAAACAAATTTTTTTTCAGAAAACCTTTAAAGGTTACTAAATCAAAATTTTTTAAGGAAATACTATGCGACGAAGATGATATTGCTGTAGATGATTCAATAAAAATGAAACGAGTTAACAAACCAACACATGAAAGCATCAACAAACTGAATGAAGAAAATAAAATCAGTTCTGCAATGGAAGATATTTTACAAAACCTTTCGAGCTGGGTATGAATAATGTTTTATTTAACTTTTTATGTCATATGTTTGTTTATGTACATTTTATAATAATTTTTAATTTTTATAGACTTTAAAAGTTTTTTTTTTTTTATTTGTAAAATAATTGCTCCTGCCTTTTTTACTTTGATCTTTTTTTTTTTTTTTTTGATTTATTTATTTGAGTTTTTTTTATAAATTTGAGTTTTTTATATCAATACTTGTAATAATATAAATAAGCTGACAGGGGTGTACTCTCATGGTCGTCCGGTGGCACGGGATGACTCATTTTCTCCATGGGCAACTAAAATTAAAACTAGACAGTTTGTTACTTACATAAGCGTCTTTATAAATAAAAACTATATTTTGATCCATAAAGATTTTATTCCTTGCAATTATTTAAAAGTAAATTTTAAAAATCATTTAAAGTAGTATACACTTTAAATTTAACAATGAGTACAATACTGTGCGTTATACAATTTTACCAAACTTGATAAAAAGAAGCCCACACGCGATTTAATATTTCGAAGTGCTACTATACTGATTTTTTAGGTAAAAGATTACTATATCACTACATTACTGTCCAAAAAACATCTGTGAATTAGTCCAAGATCATCTGTATTTTTCTTTTACTCAAACAACTTCTGTCCAATATTATCTGAAAATTCAACGACCCCTAACAACATCTTTAGGAGGATGTAACTACATCTGGTAATTTTTTTCCAAGCCCAATAACATCTGGAAAATTTTCTTTTGATGTAATTACATCTGAAAAAATTCCTATATGTAACTACATCTGGTTAAAAAAATGCAAAATTAGTTAATTTACTTAAAAATAACTTTATCTTAAAAATCTACAGATGTAGTTGTACAGATGTTATTACACTTTGATAATTAAAAAGATGAAACTACATCTGTAATATTCATTTAATTTTTACACAGATGTTATTAGACACCAATGAAGTTCAGAGGTTCTTGGAAAGATGTAACACTTCATTGTATTTACAAATGTTGTTGGACAAATGTTTTTAGACATGGAAATAACTGATGTTGTCACCCTGACCCATTTTTTAAACATTGTTGTTGCATTTTGAAACACGCTTCTTCTCAATTTAAAATTATATTTTCTTTTATTTACAAATGCTATTGTATCATTTTTAAACATTTCGAAAATGCAACTAAAGGTTTAGTTAAAGTAAAGTTTTGCAGTTTATTTTTAAATATCAACTAATGATATGGACTACTGTTATAACAATTAAAAACATCATTAAGATTATCATTGTTATATCAATTAAAAGTATCATTAAGAACGCCATAGTATCATCATTAAGAACATCATTGTATCATCATTAAGAACATCATTGTATCGTCATTGGCAACATCATTGTAGAAAAGATTACTAAACTTTGATTGGTTTATTTTTCATTAAAAAAATTTTTCATTTGACAGTTAGCTAACTGAAAAAATAAGAATTACCTCTCAAATTTCTAAAATTTTGAATCTCATGCCTCCTAAACAAGGGTTATTCTTTTGTTTCAATTTTTAATAGCAACTTCTCTTGGGCTAGATAAACTTATTAAATATTTAGAAATAAAACATATATTAAAAAAAAATATGTTATAAAAAATTCAACATATATATAAATTTGAAAAAAAATTTTTTTTTACTATACAGTTTTGATTTTGTACCTTTTTTTGTTTTCCTTTTTTTATATATTGAATTAAAGATATAAATATCTTTAATTCATTAAAACATTAATTAATTTAATTAAACATTTGTTAGCAAATGTTTTTTGTCACCATCTTTAATGTTTGTGATTCAGTAATAGGGCAATTTTCAAATTCATTTCCTGAATCTTAAAAGTTTGCTGATGTGGTCTGTTCTAATCTTTTACGTGAAATAATAAAAACTTAGTTTAACTTAATAAAAACCTTGAAAAAATATTTATTTTGAAGGAAATAAAAAAAAAATTGTGAAAAGAAATGTTTTCATTAATTGCTTAAATATATATATATATTTTTTTAATTTAGTTTTAAATTAAAATTACTTTTTTTAATTCTAATTATTTTAACTTTTAGCACTAAAAAGTTTTTAAAACCTCATTTTTTCAATTTTCTTTTTGAATATATATCATAAATTAGTTTTTAAACAGGATTTATGTCTTAAACAGGATCTTAATGAGAAAATTCCAACTTTTTTTTTATGAAATAGAATTAGGTATGAAAATTTTTTTTATGAAATAGAATTAGGTATGAAAATTTTTTTTATGAAATAGAATTAGGTATGTATGATATAACTTATATATATTTAAATTTATATATCAATGTTCTTTCACTACAAATGATTGAGTAAATATTTTTTAAACATATATAAAAATAACATACAATAACATATAAATATGAATAATATTTATAACATAATTATTCAAATACTCTTATTAGTTTATTTATTATTATAACATTTAAAATTGTTTATGGTATTAATAACAAGTTATTGTGTGTTATCAAAAGATTATGTTTTAATTTGTAAATTGCTGTCTGTTGTTGTTTTTTTGCACCATGTGGTTTTGTGATTGTGATTTATTGTTATATATTGTTTTGTTGTTGTGTTTTGATGTTTTGCATTAATGTTTTGTGTTCTTGTTGACCCAAAAGGTTTATTATAATTTTTTTTTTAAACATTGGATTTTAAAACATTTTTCTTTTAAGTATATTTCTGATTAAAAATCTCCCAATGTAGGCTGGGCCATTGTTCAATTCTTATATGTATGTTCCTGGTAAACTGGAAAACAGCGGTAAATTTCTTGTTCTAAACAAAATTATACAAGAAAGTATGGCTCGTGGTGACAAGATGCTTATTTTCAGGTAAAATCATTAATGAATATGTTATACATAACTATAAAGTAATATAAGATAATATATACATACCTATATAATAATGTAACATAATACAAAGTAATAATTTTATAGTAATATGTAACAGTTAAAATATATTAAAATAATACATTTGTTTATATTTAAAAATTATTAGAATATATTAATTTAATGAAAATTATAAATATTCATCAATATTCAATAAAATTAGAAAAGTAGTATCAATATATAAAATACATGTCATATATATACATATATAAAAAAAAGTAATTTATACATATAAACAAGTAATATTAACAAAATTATTATTAATTTTTTTTTTTTTTAATTTTTTTTTTTTTGTTATTCACCTCCTCAAGGCCAAGAGAGCCACTACAGATGAGAAGACTACTTAATAGTGGTTATAACCCTCTCTCAACTCTATAATTCTGAAACATGAATCTTGATGAACAAAGCTGCTGCGCAGAAAATAAGTTGAGCGCAGTACTACCAGGGACGTGGTGGGGATCGAACTCAGAACCTCTTGCCTACGAGCGTTTCACTACACCACTACCGCATATTTATAATATTAATAAAATAAAAGTGTTATTTAGTGTTTTACTATATGAGACTTGCAATTATGAATAATATTATGAATTACATTTGAATAATATTATGAAATACATTTAAATAATTGTTATAGTCAGAGCTTGTTAACATTAAATTCAATTGAAGAATTTCTTCAAAATATACCAATCAAAAATGGAAGCGATCATGAGAAAAAGTACTGCTGGAAAAAAGGACGTGATTATTTTAGTGAGAACAATTTTGTTTCAAATTTTATTAAGACATTGTAAAATTAAAAAAAATAGAAATTTGTAAGAATTAAGTTTTAATTTTTTTGCTAAATTTTAATTAATTTATCTTTACATTTCAATTTTGAATTTTTTATTTTTAAATATTTTATTGTTATAAAAAATTATTTAAATTATTTATTTATTACTATATTTATTGATTACAATTTAATTTTTTTACTTCAGGACTAGATGGAAGCACAAGCACTCTTGAACGTGAAAAGCTCATCAGACTTTTCAATAGTAAAGATAATAAACATACAAATATATTTTTGCTATCAACCAGGTAAAAAATAAGTTTTTATTAATAAGGCATTTTAGATTATGTTAAAAGTTGTTAAAAAAAATTGTTAAAAGTTGGTTCATTTTATACTGTATTGGTATTGCAAATTCTTACAGCGTTTTCATACTACTGGAATAAACTCTTATAAATTTAATGCTCTGTATAACATAGTAACATACATTAATTATTATAGAGCTGGTTGTCTCGGTATAAACTTAATAGCAGCTAATCGTGTTGTTGTGTTTGATGTTTCATGGAATCCATGTCATGATGCTCAAGCAGTTTGTAGGTAAAACATGTTTTTTTAATGGTATCAGCATCAGTAGGATTATTATCAGCAATGATGGTATTGTGATGGTGGTGGTGATAAATGATGACAACTACTATTTTTATTTTCAGGGTTTATCGGTATGGACAAGAAAAACCATGCCATATTTATAGATTGGTTGCATCTAATACAATGGAAAAAAAAATTTATTATCGACAAATATCAAAACAAGGAATTTCAGGTTAACTTTTATTACTATAAAAAATGTTATTCATGTTATTTTGACTGCATTTTGACTATTACATTATTTGAAAGATTAATTTTCTTTATCATTTAAAAAATTAAAATAAAACTAGTATTTATTCATAAATTTAGATCTGCTACTGGGGATCTGAGAACTAATTAAATGATAGTGATACTACACCTAGAAATAGTAACCTAACCTAGTGAGACCACCCTAGAAATAATTGCTAAATAAGTATGATCAGAAATGCTTTCATCATTTCAATAATAACATGACTTGTCACAATAGCAAAAAAAATTTTTTTGCAACATGGATCAAAGTGTTATTTTATTTTCTTTGCTCTATATTCAGTATTATAAACACTGACTTTCTGGTGTAACTGTCATGAATTCTACAGTGCACTAAACTGATATCAAAAAGAAAGTTTTTCAAATCAATTAAATAAACTTTAGATTAACTCCAGTGACAGTTTCAAATTTATTAAAGTTAATACTTAATATTATTCAATAATATACTTAATGTTCGTTAATACTTTTGGTTTTTAATAATTTTTTTTAGAAATAATGATGAAAACCAATAAAAAATCTACTACCACTTATTTGTCTATATTTTTCCAAATTTCCTTTCTAATACATCACTTTGAAATCTCTCAGCTAAAACAAAGTTATGTCAATTATTAAGTAATTTCTTGCTAAATGAGGCATGACAGTTAATGCTGCAACTGTTTGAGTCCTTAAATTTCTTGCAGTTTGAAATATTTTTTGATTGCCAAGCTTCAACCAAATGTGCTATTAAACTAAAAAATTCAGTTTTTTTTATCAGCAGAAACAACTGCATTAACTAAAATATTGCACATACTGTTTGAATATGATAAAACCCACCACTTGTAAAATAATAAAAAAAAACCTGCACTACTTTCAAGATCAACAAAGTATTAGTTGCTGCAGAAGTATTAGTAACAAAGTTGCTGCAGAATTAGTTTCATCATTAATTGCTAGTAATAAAGAAACAATTTGTTTAAAGCTACTAGGATGAAATACCTTCATTATTATTTTTGTTGCTTTGTGCAAACCAGCATTAAGAGCAACGTTTTTCATAAGTGCAGTGAAATATGCTCCATTTAATTTTTTTACCACATACAAAGGTTCTTGGCAAATTTTTTTAGAGCTGTTAATAAGAAAGAAACCATCTTTTAATTTGCTAGAGTTTTTTTTATAGCAAAAAACATATGAGGACACATATTGTCACAGACGATAACTCTAACATATTGTCACAGACAATAACTCTAATATTAAATTCACATGCACTTAGAATACCAATACACTTTTCCAAAGTTTCCCTTTCAACCATTCAACATTGTTTTTTCAGGTAATGGTTTAAGCAAATATGGGACATTTTTTTCCAGGCCAACTATCATAAAATAAATAGTTTACCATTCTCATCACCATCAATATTACTGATCATATTGATGGTAAAGAAAATACTTTATATAAAAGTTGTTTTGACTGCATAGAGGTGTAACATCAGTGAATAATAATAATAATAATAATAATGGCTTAATAATGATATTTAACCAGAGAGGCAAAGGTGCAGTGAGGCAAAGGTGCAGTGAGGCAAAGGTGAACCTTTGTAATTTAATTTATTGTATATATTGTTGTTTATGCAAATGCAGTCTGCAGCTCCTGGAATTGGTAAATTACTATGACTCCATTTATATAAACTACATGATTATTCCCCATTCTTACTTCAAGAATGGAGAACTATCAAGAGCAAGGCTTTCAGTCCTCGAACTTATTAATCAAATCAACTGTCTAAATTGATTGAAAAATATTCTTTTTGGTTGGCAATTTTGTTGAAGATTAGAAATACAAGATGTGAAATTACAAGATGTGATAAACTTTAAATTTTATTGATCATTAAGAAGAAGTGCAATATGTGATAAGCCTTTTTCTTCCGCCAAATTCGTACAATCATAAATAGTTGCAATATGGTTTTTTAATTAATCATAAATGTTGATTCTTGTTACAATCTACCCCAATATTCTGTTCTTCGATATTAATTTCCATGTCCTGATTGATCCTAAGCGATTTCACTTTGAACTCTTTCATTTTCTTTATGGCTTAGCATGATTTTGTAATTATATCTGGATTTTCCATGGTCTTACTTAGATTTTTAGTACATACTTTGACAAACTATCTAGGTAGAACATGCAATATATATATATTTTTTTCCATAAAAAACTTATGGATAATGGTAAGCAAAAAATGTTACCGAAATGTTATCTATACACGCTGTAGTAGATAGTATAGTTCCACTTACGGGGACAAGTTTAAAAAAAATTTATACTAATAAATGCAAAAACTTTTATTAAAAGTAAAAAGTACATTCATTGACCGAAAAATAGGAAGAATATGCAAATTAGTGCCACTATGTTAACTAAAGGTTTGGGTTGGGACAAGTTAGGGTTAAATTTAAATATTGTTAAACTTATCCAAATATTTGTTTTTGTAAATAAATGAATAAAAAATGAAATATAATATATAATAATTAAATCCGTCAGGGTTAGGGTTAATCATTGTCTTTCTCTATAAATCATCTCATATTTTCTCTTTTAGTAATTTCCAACTCTAATAGTGGTTGCTTCAACCTTGTTGGAAGTAATGATGTTAAAAAAATTATTATTATTATAAAAAAAATAAAAATCACAAATATAGATAACAAATTATTGTAGTAAAGTATTCAATTAAAAATTTTATAAATAAAAATAAAAAAAAGTTTTGCAGGAATAAAAAATATGTATATACATAAGTATATGCATATTATATATATATATATATATATATATATATATATATATATATATATATATATATATAAAGTATTCAATTAAAAATTTTATAAATAAAAATAAAAAAATGTTTTGCGGGAATAAAAAAATATGTATATACATAAGTATATGTATATTATATATATATATATATATATATATATATATATATATATATATATATATATATATATATATATATATATGTATATATATATATATATATATATATATATATATATATATATATATATATATATATATATATATATATATATATATATATAAAGTATTCAATTAAAAATTTTATAAATAAAAATAAAAAAATGTTTTGCGGGAATAAAAAATATGTATATACATAAGTATATGTATATTATATATATATATATATATATATATATATATATATATATATATATATATATATATATATATATATATATATCAGGCTTTCACAGGAAGGCAAGCAATCGCACACCATTATATGACCAGGCAAATAATATTTAGCTTTAACCATTTGACTATTTGAAAAAAAATTTTAATAATATCCTGAATGAAAAAGATTTTTAATATTTATCTTAGAGAAATAAATGACATTGAAAATTTTATCTTTATGTTTTTCAATTAGCAAAACACATTTGAATAAAGTAACTATTTACTTTATTTAAATGTGTTTAAAAATTATGTGTAAGCATAATTTTTTTTAACTTATATAAATTAAATAAGTATGCATTGTTTATAATAAACGTTATTAAAAATGAAAAAATTGTTTTGTTTTTATAAACAACAATTTTCTTAGACAATGAAAGTCTATTTTAATGAACTTTATGAATCATTAAAGCTAAAACACTTAAAAAGGTAAAAAAGATTTAAGCAAATAAAAAATGTTTTTGAAAATAGTTCCAATTAAATCTTTGATGCTTTTATGATTAATATAACAAAAAACTTTTAAATGAAACAAAACAATGCTAATAATTTTTTATGATTAATATAACAAAAAAACTTTTAAATGAAACAAAACAATGCTAATAATTTTTTATATAAAGTATTAATGAATATTATATAGTTTTTTTTATTTATATAATAATGTATTTTTTATGATAAATATTAATCTTTTAAAACAAATTATAATTAAAAAAAAAAAAAAATCAATCTATAGGTGTTTAAAAAAAGCATGAAATGGTTTTTAATGCATAATTATATATAAACTTATATTTTTAAATTAGTAAAAACAACAACTATAGTTTAAATTAGGTGCAAATATTTTTTAAACAATCATTAAAAATATTTTAAGGGTTTTCCAATATAATATTGTATAAACATTTGTGAGGATTAAAGATTTAAACTTATTTATTATTCCAAACATAACTAACAACTTGATTTAGATAAACTCAGCAATTTAGTTTGTTGAATTTTATTTTAGTTGAGTTATATTGTTGGTTTTTGTGTTTAAGTTAAGTTTTTTTTTATTTTCTCTTTTGTTAAGATTTCTTTTCTTTTTTTAAAATAAACTTTGTTTTTAGTTAAGTCTAGGTCAGTTTTCTCAGCGCATATTTAAATTTTGAAAACATGTTAAAAGTCATGGTCAAATAGTCAAAACAAAATATTATTTGCATAATCATAATTAGGTATATAAAATGAAAATTTAAAATTGATTAAATTCTAGGTTATTACATACCATTAGAAAGAGCTTCAATTCAATATTTTAAAAGTGAACAAGTTCTCAAAGTCGAAGAATTCCACAAAAATTTATGGCGTTTTTAGTACCAATTTTTGAATATCACCAGGTGTGTCCAGAGACCTAGGGAAAGCAACAAATTGCCACTTTTACCATCAAAAAATGAAATTTTTATTCAAAAAAAAATTTAATAATTCAATAATTTTCTTAATTTCCATATTAAAAAAGTTGCTATAATTTATTTGCAGACTGCTACCACATAGCAGAGGTTAATTTTATGAGTTAGATTGAATGTGGGGGTAATGGTTAAACACACCTTGTTAAAAAAAAAGAATAATTATTATAAGTATTATAAGTTTATTAAAAGTAAATCTAGTATCAAAATAAAATTTATAATTTACAACTTTACAACAAACACTTGCTGTGCTCACATCGATTTAGGAAAAAGGAGCACGTCCACATCCCCTCCAACCTAAAAAAACAAAATAATTTATTTAAAATGAGCTTTCAAAAAAAAGTTAATGATTAATATATTAAACTAGCTGGTCAGACCCATAAAATACGGGTCTTGGTAAGTCTGTTCAATTCCATTCTTCCCTTTCTATATTTATTACACTTTTACTAAAGTAATAAAATGCTATAAAATGTTATCAAAAATTAGTAATTTAATTAGTAAAATATCTCATAAAATAGAATAATACAATCATATTAAAGAAAATATTAAATTTTTTCTAAATCAGTTTTAAAGATGAAGATAAATGAGAAATATCATTAATTGTCAAACATTAATTTTTATCAATGTAATATTTACATCTTTTTTTTATTCATTATTATTTTAGTTCAAATCTACCCGGTGGGAATTGAGCTAGCGACTAGCTAGCTTTATAGCGATTTTCAAGCAATTTTTTTTTTATAACTACATATCAAAAATTTTTAGACAGCGATAATATTAAGACGCTAGCTACAACAGCCAGTGAGTCTTTAGCTAATTAAGCTAGCTGTCCTCTGAGCCAAATCACTGTCTTAATCTTTACAATTATTGATAGATTTTCACTAACTTAAAAAAGCTAGCAATCCTTGTGGCTAAATCAATGCCTTTATTGTTACAATTATAGCTAGCTATTCGCTCGCCGATTTTCAAATTTCAGATAATCAACTTGGATCATTTTTTTCATTTAAGTTTTTATTTTGAATACCGTTTTTTTTTGTGGCAACTCAAGAAACTTTTTTTTTTTAAATATTCTTCATAACTGAAAATGCTACTTTTAACTTAAAGTTATGCATGGGATCTGTTTACAAAAGTGTAATGTAAAAATATAGATAATATTTTTATTTATAATATTATAAATAAAATTTATAATATTTAAAGTAGAACAAAATTAAAAGTCAACATTAAAAAAACAAATTTGTTGATGAAAAATTTGTTTTTGTTGTTTAAATTTTTTTTTTTTAGTATACGATGATAGTTGTGATACATAATAACATAAAATTATTTTAAAAAAATAAACAATTCTGCGTGTACTAACAAAATAAAGCTAGGTTTTCTTAAAGAAGATCATAAGGATCTTATTATCAGAACCATAAAAATTAAACATATTTATTTGTAATATATAGATGTATTGAAGATTTAACATAATATGGTGAAGATTTAATAAATACATCTTACATTTTTTAGTAGAATTTTAGAATGCTGTCCATAGAAAAAATATTTTTAAATTTAGTTTTAAAAACAGGAAGAAAAAAAGAAGGGTCAAAATTTGGTAATACTATTTTATTTCAAAGTTGTGGTGCAAGATTATGAAGTTTCAAAGTTGTGGTGCAAGATTATGAAATTTCAAAGTTGTGGTGATTATGGAATTTCAAAGTTGTAGTGCGAGATAATGAAATTTAATCTCAAATTTAAATAATTAAACTACAATAACAAAAAATTTAACAAGAAACAAAATGAAACAGCAAATGAAGAACTGCTTGCAGATTTAATTTTTAAGATTTGTAGGATTATGCAAAAAAACACCTTAAAAAGCCTTATATGTGCAAATTGGCATTTTAAATATGTTGATATTTAAATGTTTTTAATATTATTTATTATAATATATTTTAATTTTGATATTATTATAATATTATTTGAATGATTTAAGTTTATAATAATTTATAACAATTAAGCTAAATTTATTATAACTTGTTAACTATTTAAAGATAAAGTGAAACTTTTATTCTTATATTTACATAAGAGTCAAACCAAAATATCAACAAGTTGACAAAATACTTTAAGTTAGTGTTACTTGACTTTCCTAGACTTCTTTGAGTATTTTAAGTATTTTAAAATTTAAATATTGTTGAAAGATTCTGTCTGTATGTAACCTATTAATAATTGGAAGAAAAAAAATGAAATAAATAAAACTATATTTTCATGATATTTGTGCTTTCCACATTACTTGTTTTTGTTTTAATTTCAAAACAAGAAATCTTTAAACTATTTATTTATTTAATATATAACTGTTTTTTTTCAGAAAAAAAATGGTTTTCAGTTTTGTAAAAACTGACCAAAAAAACAGTTAACCAGTTGCAGTTTCCACCGGTTGCTAAGCCCTTATTTAGCACGTCTTATATGTTTTAAAGACCATTATGTCATGTCTAGCCTCTATTATTTGAAAAAAAATTTTTTAAAATAAACAAGGTTATTTTTTTTGATATTCTTTGTTTTATGTTTAAAATTAAAACCAATTCATCCCTGATTTCTTTCCATAATTTGTATTCATCAAAAGATAAAAACAAATACATTTTACACGATAATTTTATTAAAAAGACCATTTTTTAAACAAATCTTTTAAAATCTTGTATTGATTATCGCGGACCATTCTTATGGAATAAAATAGTTTTTAAAAAATTTTCTGAGAATTCATTAACTAACTAGTAACTACTTTTCTTTTAAACAAAAGCTTAAAACATTTTTACAATCAAAGATTTAACTTCTGATATTTTTCAGTGATCTTCCTTTTTACCCTCTACTTAAATATGAATTTATAAAAATTATATATGTTTCATTAACAACTGTAATCTACATATATAATAGATATAACGCATCCTGTATTTATAACAGAGTATTTTAAGTTTCTTACTTTGTTAACTTATTTTTTATCTTGTAAATATCTTATAAATTTTAACACAAACATTTTTTAGCGGTACTAGACGACAAGACTGTATGGTCTTTTAAAATTCTCCACGTTGTTTTTTTTTTTAATAACATTATATATGTGTATATATATATATATATATATATATATATATATATATATATATATATATATATATATATATATATATATATATATATATATATATATATATATATATATATATACTGCATTAGTTTTTAAAGTTCCTAATGTTTTGTTACGTTTATTACATGTATTTTGTTGACAAAAAAAGTTTTATTAAACACTTTTAGACCGTGTTGTTGATGAGCAGAGCTTAACAGAAAATTTTTCCAAGAGAGAGATTCAATCGCTTGTTGAGGAAGAATGGGTTAGTTTTTAATTAGATAAATTACTGATTGGTTGGTTAGGGGCATTTCAAATTATTTGTTAATATATATTAAATTTATTTGTAAACCTATTTAATAACTTTTAGTTTTTCTATTATTCTTTTTTTTATTATTTAACATATAATCAACTAATTTTGTTTTTTCTTTGTTTTGATTTTGTTTTAATTTTTTTATTTTTGAATCACAAAAACTTAAATAAGTTTAAAGTTTTCATCTTAATAGATAGCTAAAAGTGTTTTTGTTGTTATTATTAATGTAATTGCTTATGTTACGATGGATCTTGTAATATGGGATGACACAAGCCATATATGGTAATTGTGTCACCATATATGGTAGTTGTGTATAGTGTATGCATAGACAGAAAAATGTTTAAAAAATTTTAAAGTCTGAATAAACACACATTATGTACCGTAAATGTGAAAAATAGTATGTATAGACCAGCAGGAAAATGGTAACCAGCAGGAAAATGGTAACCTCATAGAGAAAGGATCTGGATCAGTGTTTTATGTTTGTATTGCGGTCATGTCATGTCAATGATATTAAAGTTTAGAATTCTGAAAGTTAATGATGGTGCAAAAGTTTAGCAAAAAAAAAAATTATCAGACCTTAATTATATTTAATATAGTTAATCATATTTAATTAATTATAATATATACTAATATATACTAATATTACTATAATTAAAAAAAAAATGCAAAAATATGCATCAAAGGACTAGATTGAACGTAAAGCCCTAGTGAAATAAGGAAAAAATTAAGGAAATATGAAAGGTTTCTATTGAAAAAACATTTAAAATGAAGGAGAATAAGTGATAAAAACAAAGAATGAACAGATTTTTAGAATAAACACAGATATATTTTAAGAAGAAAAAGCGTATACACATATTTGCATTTTTTTAAAATTGTTTATGTTGGGACTAAGGAGCTATGACTTTTTTCCGTACAAGACTAATATACACATCACTTATGAGGTTTTTATCACTATTAAGCATTACAAACCCTCTTAACCATCACACAGAACGCTATCTGAGTTGCCACGGATTGGAATATAAACCTATTATTCTATATTAGGTGTATGTATGTATATATGAATATAGGCATCAGGGTCTAAACTAGGAAAAAAAATTCGGGTGGTGGTACCCCATTGTTGTGGCAAACTTTAGCGGAAAATCAGCGTTTTTTAGATAGCTAAAAGTGTTTTTTTTGCGATAAAAACAATATTTGCCGTAAAAATATAAAAAAAACATTAATAAAAAAAAAGGTCCTCAATTTTTAGGACCTTCGAATGTATTTGGGCGGTGCCCAAATACGGTCAAAGCTATAGAAAACGGTCTAGAATAGCCTCTAGGCATATATGTGATATATGTTAAAATGTTAGTTCTTTAAGTTGTCATTTTTTATACATATAATATATGTATAAAAAATGACAACTTAAAGAACTAACATTTTAACATATATACACATATTATATATATTATATATATATGTATATGTATGTATGTATGTATATATATATATATATATATATATATATATATATATATATATATATATATATATATATATATATATATATATATATATATATATCAAAATAAGAAACATAATACAAACTACAAGAAAATAATTAAGTAGTATATAAATGAAGGGGAAAACCAATAATTGACATGTTTTTTTCATTTTGAGGAAACAAAGAAATTAAGTATGAAGATTTGTCTTATTATGTTATTTTCAGTTCCATATATATATTTTAGGTTTGTAAATTAGTATGATCTATCACTTGGATATAAAAAGTAGATATATAAATCTGGAGTCCTTTTGGATGCGGAGCCCCAAAAGGACTTTGGATTTATATTTCTACTTTTTCCTCTGCATTGTCCAGAGGCTCTAAACATGTTTGTTGACTTATGATCTGCTATAAGAAAATAGTTCATGAGATTTAATGACTTGAAACTTATTGTTTTTAAGCCTGGAGTCTTGGAGTCCCAGAGTCCTTGCTGCCAATATACCAAAAAATTATTGTTTCTCTAACCTAAAAGTCTTAATTTTTTTCCTATTAGTAGTCCATAAACTTATTTATATTTTTAGAGCTCCTGGATATAAAAAACTAAGATGAAGTAATCTTTTTTTGATATTCTGCATCCCTGGTGAAAATATTTTTGAGGAAAGTAAGTTGTACATGCTGCATTGAATCCTGAAATAAGTGTCCCTTTTGGACATCACTGGTTTTCCCCTTCTAATTCTAGATTTTGATGTATAAACCAAAATAGTGTTCATTATGTTGTTTTTAATAAATTTAAACGCATTTCTGTTGTGTTGAATTTAAAAGCTTTTTTAGTTTTGAAAAATAAAGTTTAATTTATTTTGTTTATTCTTATTTCGACAAAATTTCTAACCCTAAACTCTTCTCACCTTCCACCCTGAGGCTAGCTTTCTAATCTAATTTTTAATCCTAAGGGTCTACCCTTAGGTTAAAGAAAATAATTTTATAGACATTTCTAAATTCAATGTTTTCTTATACATTTGTTTTTAATATAGTATTATGTTTAGAATAACACAGTAAACAACAAAATGTCAAAACAATATTAACCAAGAATTCAAAATAAATTTTCTTTTTTCCCTTAATCACTGTTTGCTTAATCTAAATACACTTTAGTTCAGACAATTCTAACACTGATTCATCATTGCTTAACTGACATTTAAAAATTGCTGGGCCTCAGGCATGCAAAATTGTATTAGAACATGAAGGTCAGCATACTTTGCACAGCTGATTGGCAGTCTCACATTGTACAAGCATACAAAATTGTATTAGAACATGAAGGTCAGCATACTTTGCACAGCTGATTGGCTGTCTCACATTGTACAAGAATGCAAGAGGTTTTAATGATAATTATTTATACAATTAACACTTTTAAAAGCTCAATTCCCAGTCGGTATTGTAACAGTTAGGAATACTTGAGAGAAAATAATTTCACGAATAGATCATATTGTTATTGGGCATTTGGGCAGAGGTTTTAAATGATCAGAAAAATTAAGGAACATGTTATGCTCCATCTTAATAACTTTAAATAGTTTTTTATCATGCATACAAAATTTTTCCATCTAATTTATTGGTAGTTCTGCTTAAACCTTCTGGTTAACTAATTCTATATCATGGTCACACTCCATGTAGCTGTGGCCCCTTATCAGGAAAGATAGTATGAGTTTATTGTAACAAAATAAAGGAGCACTATTTAATCATAAGCAGTGTATATTTAATGTGTACATAGACTGTCTACAATAATAAATATCATTTATTGTTGTAGACACATTAGGAAAAATCATATTTTTAGCAAAGTCAAATGTAAGATCTGCTTGGCTAGTTTTTGCATTACAATGTGCTTCTTTTTATCTAGTATAAAACACCTCTTTCTGCAAGTGAAGCTCTTTTTCTTTACGACTCTTGATGACTCTTGATGAGATCTACAAAGTTGATCTACAAAACCGCTTTGGTTTTTAAATTTGAGTTTGTCACATGTTAAGCATGTATCTTTAGATATGAGGATAACCGAAGCAAATATTAAATTTTTCCAAAAATATTTTCCTTGTAAAAGAAAAGTAGAAAATTAGATAATATCTAATAATATTCCTAAATAATCACACATTAAAGTATCTGTAGCTTTTTTGACAAACTTTATTTTGTGGGGAGCATTCTTTGTACATATTGTACATATTTGATAAAATAAAATCTCCTTGTAAATACAGCTTTTTAGTGTCATGTTATGCATAATGACTTTTTTTGTCCTTTAAAAGACTTGACATGATTGATAATACTATTTACAATATAATTTGAAAAAGCGAATTTGTTGTTTTTGAGATTTAAATTTGCAAAATAATATGCAGAAATGTATTTTAATTTTGTTAAAACACATTTGTGCATTATATATTTGATTTGAATGACTAAATAGTAAATAAATAATAAAAGATATATATTTATGTTTACTAACCGGTTTTAGCAAGAGATCTCTTATTCTTTGTGTTCTTGATTTTTCCAAAAATTGATAAAATAGCATTGATGTAAACTGGAGTTCTAACAGTATCATAATATTGTGTCACTTTGATGTTATTAGAAAATAAGTTGTCATGAAGAATTCTTTTTTCTTCTTTTTGTCACATGTTGAGCATGTATCTTTACAAGGATAACCAAGCTAATGTTAAGTTTTTCTATCTAAATATCCAATAATATTCTTAAATAATCTCACATTACTAAAGTACCTGTAGCTTTCTTGACAAACTTTATTTTTTGGGAAACACTCCTTGTACATATCGTACATTTTTGATAAATTAGGATCTTCTGGTAAATACAGCTTTTAAGTGTCATGTAATGCATAATGACTTTTTTGTCCTTTAAAAGACTTGATATGATCAATAATACTATTTACAATATGGTCTGAAAAGGCTAGAGGTTGATTTGTATGTTTTTCTTGCTGGTTTTCCTTAAAAATAATCAAATATACAAGCTTTATAATGTTTTATCAACTTAATCAAAACTATTAGCTTTTAAGCTTATATAAATTCTTTTTGCTGTTATTTTTGAGAGAGAAACTTTGTTAAAACACATTTGTGCATTGTGTATTTTATTTGAATGACTAATTAGTAAATAAATAATAAAAAAATGTTTACTTACCAGTCTTAGCAAGAAATCCTCTTATTCTTTCTATTCTTGATTTTCCAATTCCAAAAATTGATAAAAAAAAAAAAAAAAACAGTAATATTATCTGGTGTCAGTTTGATGTTATAAGAAAATGAGTGGTCATAAAGAATTATTTTTTCTTCTTTTTGTCGAGGTCTTTTTTCGTTTAATACTTAAAACCTTAATCATTGAAGCAAGAAATCTTGATCTTTATTTTGCATTTTGTTAAAGGACAAAAATAACTCCCTTTTTTCTACTTTCATTTTCTGAAAACACATATAATGCATGCAATTACACAGAAAATCCAAAA